TTTGTGAGAGAGTGTGTGAGAGAGTTTGAGAGAGTGTGAGAGAGAGAGTGTGAGAGAGTGTGAGAGAGAGAGAGAGTGTGAGAGAGAGAGAGAGAGAGAGAGAGAGAGTGTGAGAGAGAGAGTGTGAGAGAGAGAGAGAGAGAGAGAGAGAGAGAGAGAGAGAGAGAGAGAGAGAGAGAGAGAGAGAGAGAGAGAGAGAGAGAGAGAGAGAGAGAGATGAAGTGGTTTGGTCAGTTTGAAAAAGAGAAAGAGAGAGAGAGAGAGAGAGAGAGGAGAGGCGGCGTGAGAAGTGCCTGAGGGCAGTTAGACTTAAAGCTTGGTCGAATGGCTTGAGGGAAGAGGGTCGAGTCCAATACGGCATTTGGCGCATATGGGTCGGTGGTGGGCTGTTTTAGGAAGAGTTTGATCGAGTTGGTGAGAATGAGAATGTTCACGGTCAGGGCCAGTGTGACTATGGGGCTCTGACAGGCCAGAATGCATCTGGGTTCAAGTCTGCGGACGCCGTGGCCAAAGAAGACAAGGTGGGAGGGGTTGATGCGAGTCAATTAGAGGTTAACATGACAAGATGATAATGTCTCTCATATAGTACAGCCGCCCCACGGTGCCCTAGTGCACTGTGGTCTGGGCTACGGGGGCCGTGCCACTATCGGAAAGCAGCGGCGTTAGCGTTGCGCAGACGTGATCAAGCGTGGGCCGGGACGCAGGGTCCAGATGCCAGCATTGCCGAGTCAGGGCCACCAGAGGCGTAGGGGCCAACGGGCCAAATTCCAAGCGTTTACCGGCCTCAAGCAGAGTGAGCAGGCGCGTCAAAAAGGGGCCCCGCGAGCCGGCACCGTATTCCTGTTCGACCAGGTCCGGAGATGCCGCCATGATCGTCTCCCACGCGAGCACCCCAAAGGCAAACACGTCAGCCTCGGGACCACCATTGCGCCCCGTGCGCAGCACTTCAGGCGCAAGATACAAAGGCGTGCCCGCCAACAGGCTCAGACTTGTTTCGAGCTGTTGCTCTTCTGAGATGGCGCCTGCAAGTGCTGCGGCATCCACTCCAGTAGCGCCAGGAGCTCGATGTGTCGAGGCATGGGCCCGTGGCTTGATCGAGCCAAAGTCGCTGACCTTGGCTCGAAAATCGGCCGTAATTAGCACGTTGCCACTCTTGATATCTCGATGCGTGTGACCAAGGTTATGCAGGTAGGCCAATCCTTGCGCCACGTCGAGCAGGATGCGACAGCGCTGCTCATCTGTGAGCAAGATGGGCTGCCTGCCGCGCAGAACACTCTTCAGTGATCCCCGTTCAAGTAGCTCCAGGACCAGGAAGCTGGTTTCGCCAGCGCCGTGGATGGGCCCATAGCCAGCCCCAAACAGGCGCACGAGGTGGGGGTGCCGCGTGCGCTGCAAAAAGTCAATCTCCTTCTCAAAGTCATTCACCACGTTGGTCTCCATGGACAGCTGATGCTGCAAGACTTTGACACATACCTAAAGTCATCCGCAGGGAGCATCAGAACGCCCGACCTCATGCACCACGAAAGAGCCAGCAAACAGAAAACAGAGCAACCGCCAGGGAAAAAAAAAAAAAAAAGAAAGAAAGAAAAAAAAAAAACACTAGCAAAACAATTGAATCTCACACCACCATACCTCGAAGCGGTTCCATTCGGCTCGCCACACTTCGCCAAAGGCTCCCGGGGAGTCACCATCGATCCTGTTGAGCAATTGTAGTTCATCGGCGCTAATCTCCCAAGCTTGTTTAAGCTCGGCAATTTCGTCATCGTAGGAGGCCACCAGCAGCTGGCGCTCCAGTTCACCTTTTGCCTCGAGACGAAGGACACCTGAGCGATGCCAACGCAGAAGGAGGTAGGTCACCGCGCCACCCACGAGGGTGATGATGAGGAGTGCCAGCAGGACAAGAAACCAAACGTTTTGCATCAGGGGCAAGTAAAAGCGGCAGGCGCCGCGATGGAAGCGGTACCCCGGAGAGCAGGTGCACACGACGCGATGCTCTCCGTAAAGCGTGGCTTGTTCCTCGTCGGCCTGGTTGACGACCCCTTTATCGCTCTTGGTGAGCTGGCATTGGGTCGGACTCCCCTCCAAAAGCAAAGTCGGCAGGTCCGAAAAGTCACACACGGGCGTCAGACCATCCATGGCGAGCCAAGAGCAGTTGGCAGCCAACGCATTACCCACATAGAGTCGATTGCTCAAGACATTGTTGAGAATGACTGGGTCCTCGAGGCCGTTGTCAGAGAGGTCCATGACATGGATGCCAATTCGCAGACACTCACGGATGGCCTCGGTCCAATCCAAGGCATGGGTCATGGCCTTCAGGGCCACGAAGCGCCGCACATGCTGGCCGCAAATGGCCGGGGAAAGAGGCACGGCTGTGCCAGACACATCAAGCTGCTCGGCTGCCACGCTGGGTAATACCGTAAGCTGAGGGTTGAAGGACACGTTGAGTGCGGTGGTTTCGATACTCGAGGACACGTCCAGCGTCTCCAGGTGGGCGTTGCCGACCACCTCTATGAGGTCAAAGGCGTGGTTATGCCTGCTGGTGAGGTTGACCGAGGTGACATGATCCAGGCAGGCGACGCGAAGATGACCAAGGTTGGGCCAGGCATCAAGGGCCAGGTGCAGATCCGGGCTGGTGACCTGGTTAGCAGGCAGGCTAAGGGAGGTGAGGGCGCCGAGGTTTTGCAGTTGAAGGCCAGTGACTGTGGCGCCGTCGAGAGACAGGGCAGAGAGGTGTGCGAGACCTGCGGCGTCGGCATTGTAAAAGGTGGCGGTCCAATCGACTGAACAGTCCTGCTGACCCAGGAGCAGTGTGTCGAGACGCGAGACAGCAGCCCCATCCAAGACGAAGTGGCGGAGGGGGTTGCTGGTGAGGTCAAGATGAAAGAGGCCAGGGGCATGCGTGAACGCGTCAGCGGTTGGGAATTCACCAAGTTGATTCTGGGAGAGAAGGAGCGTGTGCAGGCGAGAGAGGCCCGCGAAGAAGTCGGACGGCAGGGCAGT